CTGGGTGAAGGTGGGGAGCCACGTATGGTAGTACAAGCCTGTAATCCTAGCACTGGGGAGACTCCCTGTAAGTTGCCAGCCAGCCAGTGAGCTCCAGGTTCAGTGAGAGATCCTGTCTCAAAAAGTAAAGTGGTAAAGAGAGACACCTGGCGATGACCTCCAGCCTCAACATACATGTTCCCATACACATGTGCACCACAGGCACGCACATGTGCGCACACATACACACAATGTGGGTAATGATATCGCGTGCTGACTGGCTGAGCTGGGAGCTACATTCCTTTCCCCTGGATTTATCTCTGTGGCCAGGGAGGACAGATAGGCCCTGTAAGAAGTGAAGCACTTGGAATGTGTCTGTAAGATGTGTGGTTCTGAGAGTGAAGCAGGCCGTTTTGTGGGGTCCTGGGATGCTAGGCAGACATTCTACATGAGAATGAAAAGCAAAGTCTTCAGAGACAGGCTGCTTTCTGCACAGTGGTCCTGCAAGACTCGCAACCTCTGGTGATTCAAACCAGTTTAAGGATTTGGTAACTGAATTAACTACATTAGTCAGCCAATCAGTATTACTATTTTTTTGGGGGGGGGTGTTGCTGAGCATCAAGCCCAGAGCATCATCTATGCTAGCACAGACTTCCCCAGTGAGCTACACCTTTCGCTTGGTCTGCACTATTTCAACATGAGTTAATAGTTTCATGTGAGCTACAAAGCCACACTTAATTATTGAGTCAGACTGGTCTAAGGGACCAACAAATACAATTTTCTGCATTTTTCCCTTTGGAGCCTTAACTAAGTGGTCCTTCTCCGCTTTGTTTTGTTTTGTTGAGGCAGGGTCTCGCTCTACAACCTGGCTGGCCTGGAACGAGCTGCACAGACCAGGATTTAAATGACCTTTTGTCCCGAGGGCTTGAGTAGAGGACAGGCAGGCACCACTACACTTGGTCATGTTTTTGAGAAGGGATCTCCCTTTGTAACCAAGGTTGGCTTCAAACTCATGATCTTCCTGCCTCAGCCTCCTGAGGGCAGAGATTATGGTGAGTAAAACGTCTTGCTGAATGGAGGTCACAGCTGATGAGGAACTGGATTCCTGCTTAGTCTAGTTTTACACCAAAGATTAGGGGCTCAACAAATCAACGCAGCCAGCAGACCAGTGTTTGCTATTTGACTTTACTCTATAAAAATACACAACTTAAATACATATGACACTCTGTATACAAGACATAAACAACTGGTAGATTTAACACTTCCGGTTATTTCAACAGAAAGCAAATATGTAAATTACCTTGTAAGAGCATTCACAGTCAAGGGGAAGGATGTGCAGAGAGCTAACCCCAGCTGCCCAGCATCCCAGCGCCAGGCCTTCCACGAACAGCAGTATCAGACAGTCCGGCACCGCACTGCATGACAGCCACAGCCACACCACAAGTGAACACGTTCATCCTCCCCAGAGACAGTTCATGGCACAATCAATGTGCAAGGGGCACTGACCATGTCTAAAATTGTGCTCAGCAGCGGGATGAGAAGGATGAACAGCTCCTTGCTGGTGAAGCCTACAGTGGAAATTGCTTTAGCTTGATTTTACAACTAAATTCATTTTCGAAAGTTTTCCAAAAATGCTGGGGGACCTAGCTCCATGGGTCGCAGTGTGAGGGAAGTGCCAGTCCAGAACTGGAAGAGGGCACTGTCATGGCCAAAAGCAATTCCTTCATCCTCCTGGTGGCAGCTGCCACTGCCCTTATGCAGTGCTGGCAGGCACTCCTGTCTTACACTACTGAGCTTTCAGCCGTCTGGCTGCCCAACCTGGCTCACTGGCCATCTGGCTGCCCGACCTGGCTCACTGGACTAAGACAGAATTAGGTACCAGTTTGAAGGTATAAAGAAATACTTCCCACCTGAGATTTCAATCAGTGAGAACATACTAGAGCAAGTTTCCTGAGGTAAAACACAAACCTTAAAGAATGGTGAACAGTTTATAGAATGACTGCGAATTTATCCTCAATGTCTGTCTGGACTCTTAGGTTGACAAGCTGGTCAAACAAGGACACACTGAAATGGGGAAATAAAGTGGCCGTGCTTAAGTAAGAGAGACTGACAGTGGAGAACAGCCATTCACTGGGAGGCACGAAAGGAGAGGATCTCTCTGACAAAGGGGAGGATATTCTAAAGTGCTTGAGATGACTGGAAGCTAACTCTGACATATCTCCAGGGACTTCCAATAAGCTAAAGAAGTGACACTTGTTGGTGACTCAGATGTAGAAGAAATGGCTTTTCTTTAATAACAGTTGTTCAAATGTTTTATCCCCTTTTGGGGGGGGAATAAGGTCCTTTATAAAAAAATGTTTAGTCACTGAAATGACTGTGTTGCGACTCCTGCTGATGTTCTGAGATCTTAACTGGGTTAAGTTGTAAAGAGGGTGAAGGACAAAGCACACACGTGTGCCAAGAATTTAAAGAGCACAGAGGTCTGTAGGGGATTCCGAGAAGCTAAGGTTCATCCCGAGGCAAGCGTCAATGGTTCTAAAGCCCTGCTGATGGGATTATGAAAACCAGAAAAACCCTGGGATCCTGAGGCTCAGCCTTTTCATTTTCTCGTGATTACATTTATAAAGTAGTATACAGCCACCCAAATGTTAACAAGTAAGATCTCAGAAACAAAGCCTCAAGACGTAAGAATCAAGCCCAGGCTCCATTTCAGCAACTCACTCTGAGGGATCCGCACAGGAACACTCAAGGGCCCTGCTGTGACTGGTTCATCTGCTCATGCTCTGAACGAGGCATCTTTAACAACCATGGCGAAGACTGTGAAAAGGGAAAATACCACCCTGGACAACCCTCTCCTTGGTATTCAGATGGGTCTCCAGCTAGGAAGGCAGGAAGAGATAAGGAAAACAGGAAGCTCCTGGACAACCCCCTCCTTGGTATTTAGGTAAAAGGTCAAGAATTTGCCACTGAGCCTGAGCGCGCACTCGTAGCCTTATTTGAATTGACCAATGGAATGAATCCCCATAACCACGCTTTTCGCTTCTGTTCCCGCGCTTTTGCTCTCCTATAAAAACCCCTCACCCCAGCCTGACGGGCGCGCAAGTCTTCCGAGAGACCTTGTCGCCCCAGGTACCTGTGTATTCCAATAAACCTCTTGCTGTTTGCATCCGTAAGTGTGGTTTTGTTTGATTCATGGGTACGGGGGCCTCTCTCGAAAGGAAGACATCCCTCGGGGGTCTTTCAACTGGGCCCCTCACTCAGGTTGATAGCGCCAAGAACAATCCCTTATCCACAGGCCTCCTGCCTTCTGTTTCAAGAGCAGTTGGATAGTGGGGTACATTAGGCATGAAGAAAGCCTCAAGCAGAACTGAAGTCCACAGGAACCTGGAGGTGGATGGAGTTCTATCATCTGAGAAGCCAGTTCAAGGGCCAGAAGAAATCACAGAGCCACGCCCCAGATCTCTTTATCTCTTTCCCACAGATCTGAATCCATAAAGGGCAGCACTTTAAGCTCAGCATCACTGAGCACAGCCTTGCAGAGCGAGGCTGTGGTAGAGAAAATCAGTCCGATAGACTGGAGTGGCTTGGACTGTAAGACAGGAGTGTCTTCTTAGGTAGGAGAGATGTTATTTGGCAGCCATTAGGAAGTAGGTGCTTAAAGGTCACAGCCTAGAAACGCTTTTCTGACCTTCAAAGCTCCAGTTAGCACAGCGGCTGCAGCTAAAAGTATGAAAAACACAGCTAAGAGACAGAAGTCGAGCAATGAGCCAGCACTGTAAGAAATGCAGCTCCACCCAGCTGTGTCTACCAGGCAGGGAGGATGCTTTCTCTACGTGAAATGAGTTTTCATCCTTGTAATTTAAAAATTCTCTTCAGAAATCTGTAGCCCAAACAGAAAAACTGTAGAGATTCTGCCCTGCACAGGCCCAAGATGTCACACTGTACCCTCAACAGATCATACTTCTTTCCAGTCAGCTGAGTCTAGGGCAACTAGGGACTCAACAAGAGAGGTCACAGCAGAGGTGGGGAACGACAACAGAGCAGGGCGAGTGTGGAAGAAAGAGACCGCTCGTGGGAAAGTCCCTGCCTGCCTCTCCTACCACCTATGGCAGGCATGAGGAGGCACACAAGTCTAGTGCCCAACACACCTGAGCTCAGCTGGCCTTTCCCTCTGTGTGCTGTGGCTGAACAAACATCCCCGAGTAATCCATAGCACGCCTTCAAAGTGTTTATGTCCTGGCCTCTGGTCCCTTGTTCCCAGGGGCTCAGCACTCCTTGCTGTTTCTACTAGCAACTATGTCTAGGGCAGAGCAAAGACCTGGGATTCACGATGCACTTCAGGTCCTATCTTTTCAGGACACTATCTTTCTCTCTAACCCCCGGCTCATCTCTCCCCCTGCTGGCTGAAGAAGGAACAGAGTGGATGCCCTAAAAAAGCAAGTCGACAGACCAGTCAGTACCAACTTACTTTTACATTCTTCTACAGGGGTGCTTGTTTTTCCTTTTTTCTTTGAAAGACTCTCACCACGTAATCCAGACTGGCCTCAAACTCACAATCCTCCTGCCTCAGCCTCCTCAGTGCTGGGGCTGTAGGCACGTGCCCCCATGCCTGGATCTAACCATAGGTTGATGGTTAAAATACTAGCTAAGAAGCAGGGATGCTAAGCTCCCAGGGGCTGGGTGCTGTCCACTTGCTGCTGTCATTCTCTTTCCTGGTTTTATCCCCTTCTCTGACGATGGTATATGGAGGGATGGCTCGGTGGGAGGAGAGACACCTGAGTCAAAGTGTCCTGCTGGCCTCCCCCTCTCTAGAAGCCTCATGGATTTTGAGAAGCGAATGCCTAGGTGATGCAACAATTACGAAAACTGAGTTCTCCAGCAGTAGGAAACGAGATGCAGCACATGAGAGATGGGGGCTCTCTCCCACACAGAAGCAGGTCACCACTGCGAAAGGCCCACACACGGTAACAGGCACCCACACTATTCACTTACAAATGACGGCACATAAGGGAACCGAACAGTGAGCATTTGTGAAGGAAAAATCCATGTTGGTGATGTCACCTCAAGGGGAGTGTGCACTTGAGCCTGCATGTCGCTTCCTCTGCCTTCTACTTGATGTTTTTCAGGAGGGCTGTCCGGGCATTCACAACTGCTTTGAAGGCATCTTCACTGCCAGGCGCCACACACTTGTCCGGGTGAAGCAGCACTGCCAGTTTCCGGTAGGCCTTATTGACTTCCTCCCTGTGAAAAGCGCCGAGCTCTGTCAGTAACTGAGTTGGCCCCAAATCATGCATCCCAGCTCTCTGGATATATTACACATCTCCCATGGAATTATTTCCTTTTCTGAAAGGTAGAACTAAAAGACTAAAAAAACAACAAAAAAAAAAACACCAAAAAAAGCCCCCAAAAAAACAAAACAAAAAACCAAACAAACAAAAAAAAATCAGACAGTTGGTCCTATACAAGTAGAAAAATACGGTTGTGAGTCTAGAAGACAGACCAAGAAGGGTCAGCCACTGCCAGGCAGCTCTAGACACTCAAGGGCCCAGAGCAAGCCTTCACTAACTGAAGGGATGAGAGCCTGGGCACCAGGAAAAATCCTCTGGGAGAAGCTTCTGGAAGAAGAGAGGCATGTGATTAGCACTTGGGAATGCCAGGGAGGAATTGGTGGAGAGGTCTGGAGCAGAGAGCAGATGCTACCACCTCCAAAGCAAAACAAGGGAAAACACTAGATTTCATTGGCAGGCATTCTGGGGCAGTGGGCACTGAGAAAGCTGTTTCTCACCGTTGAGAGACAGGGAGGAGATTGCCACAGCAGCCCAGGCCTGAGAGCAACAGTTCAGATGGAGGCAGCCAAGGGAAGGGAGCTCATACAACATGAAACAAAAGTCAGTGGAAGTGCCGGGTGGTGGTGGCGCACACCTTTAATCCCAGCACTTGGAAGGCAGGGGCAGGTGGATTTACTTGAGTTCGAGGCCAGCCTGGGCTACAAGAGCTAGTTCCAGGACAGGCTTCAAAACTACAGAGAAACCCTGTCCCGAAAAACTAAACAAACAAACAAACAAAAAAAAAAAAGTGGAAGCAGCTGAAAATGAAGGAGGAGCTGCTGAGAGGACTCCATGACTCCATGGTTCCGAGTAGCTGGGCCGGGCTGCAGAGGGCCCAGAGACTGCAGATTCCTTCCCCATCTCCACTCCCAGTCATCCTCGGGTGTCACATGGTTTTACTTTCCAAGTTTCCTTTTGACACCAGAGTCCCTGCGATCCTGTCAGCATGGCATGATGCTGGGTCAGGTGCCTTCACCTTCTCCTTTTGTTGGCAGGACTTCTCATAGAACTCTCCCAACTACAGAGATGCCTTTTGCTGGCTTGGAGACGGTACAAAGTCTGGCGTCACGGCAATAAGTCCATGTGTCTAAGGCATACGTGTTAGAGCTCTTCCTGCTGCTGGATGAGTCCTGAATTTTCTTGTTCTTGTTTGCATGTTATACTCTACATATGCAATATGTAGTCTTTTATTGTGTGTGTGTGTTGTTGTTGCTTTTTTGTTTTTTGTTTTGTTTTTTTTCTTTTTCAAGGCAGGGTTATCTGTAGCTTTGGAGCCTGTCCTGGGACTCACTCTGTAGACCAGGCTGGCCTCGAACTCACAGAGATCCGCCTGCCTCTGCCTCCTGAGTGCTGGGATTAAAGGTGTGCGCCACCACAGCCTGGCTTATTGTGTGCGTTTGTGTGGTGTGAACCTGTGTCTGTGCATGTGTGAGGCCAGACGTCAATGGCAACTGTCTTCTTCCGTCACTCCCAACCTTCTTTTCTAAGTTGGGTCTGTTAGGCCTCAACATGGCTGCTTTGGCTAGACTGGGTGGCCTGTGAACTAGTGTGGTAATACTTTTGTTTGTGCTGTAACAAATGAAACTTGCCTGAAGATCAGAGTGCAGAACTAGCCACACTAGTTAACTACAGAGGTCAGTCAGTGGTGGCACAGGAGACAAAGGCAGACAGATCTCTGTGAGTGCAAGGCCACCCTGGTAACTGGTGAGGTAACACCAGTCTAAAAGAGAATCAGAGCCAAGCAGTGGTGGCTCACACCTTTAATCCCAGCACTAGGGAGGTGGAGACAGGAAGTGATAATGGCTGGGTGGAGAGAGGAATATAAGGCAGGAGGGGACAAGAGCTCAGTCCATTCAGTCTGAGGATTTCAGAGTGGTAAGAACTAGTGGCTGGCTGCTTTGCTTCTCTGATCTTTCAGCATTTACCCCTATATCTGACTTGAGGTTTTTATTATTAAGACAAATTAGAAATCACGCTATACTCCAGGGATTCACCTGTTTCTGCCCTCCCAAAACTAGGATGCATATATGCTGCTATGCCTGGCTTTTGTGTGGGTACTGGGAGTCCAAACACAGGTCCTCATACACGTAGAACAAACACTCCATCCACTGAGCCATCTTCCCCAGTGCTGCATATGCAATCTTGATATTATCAAAAAGCATTTTCCTTCTTGGAAGAAATTTGAACGGCCAGAGTTTGTATTTATTCGAAGATCCTGTGTCCTTGAGGTGAGTACAGGATACCCTCCTTCTCCAAGATGGAATCTAGGGCAGGGCCAGGGATGTGCTCTAGGGATATGTCTAGATGGGCTCAATGTTATTCATGGTCCCTGCACGGAGTGCCTTTTGAGATTTACAGGCACAGAAAGACTATCAAGGGAAAGTTCTAGAGAAACAAGACTGGTGCAGGTGTGTGTGTCAACAATCTCTCACCTACAGATGGTGAGATCTCTTTAAAGTCCAAGAACTGTAAGAACATTTGACCCCAAACAAGTACAAACAGAATTCTCTAGAACTTAACATTCTAATGTTCAAGGATTTGTCCCAAATGTGCTAATGTCATTTGATAAATACAGTTTGTACAGATAAACTTGTGTTTATATGGGTTAAGGGAACAGAAATCACAGAGGCCCTGGAATTTACGAGAGCTCTGGTAGATTCTAGTTAACCAAAGTCAATAAAGAGCCAAATTTTTCTTCTTCAACTGCCATGCCCAGCTCTTCCTAAATAAATCTTTTGAATAAAACAGGTAACCACACATAACCAATCACAGACGAGAGCAAGCAGGGCTCGTGAGAAAGGCAGCGGGGCAGACTGTTCCTGGGCCGAGAGACACCACTGTCTCCTGGGGCCTCAGCGATCACTTATTTCCCCAGAAAAATGACAACAAGTTGAGACATCTTTCTTCTTCTAAAACTCCATGATTTAAGGATGACTTTTTGGAAAGCTTTCTTAGGTTGTGTCAGATTCTTGCTCAACACCGGCAAAGGTGGAGCCAACCATTTCACCACGTGTTTGGCAGAAACACGGCACAGCCCGCTCAGTAGGAAATGCGCCTTCTATTTCGCTGCTCTGTGTTGAGTTAGTGGGGCAGAGTCCTTCTGAAACTTATTTCCACACATCCTCAAGTGTCCAGCCAATTAGAAGAAGAAAGATTGAGAACTACTTTTGGCAACAGAGCCTTGGACCCTTCCAAAACTCCGCACTAAGCACCCCAAAGCTGCTTACCTCGAGGCCCCAGGTCTGACTCCCAGCATGTCCCAACTGTCCTTACTATTTCGAATCCTGCGAATGGTGTCGGCTTGTTCTTTGGTGAAACTAGCACTGTTATTTGCAGTAGGACGTTTCCCGCCATTTTCACACAAGTCAACTATGGACACGTAAAAGGTCTGCGAAGAGAACACACCCAGAGATGTGAATGTGGGAAATAAGAGCTCCTTTCACACACTTCAGTGACTCTCCAAAGTCACGAGTCATCCCCTCACTTGGAAGACTTTCCTCATGGGATAGAACTGTATTTATATCCATTCCCTTGGCACTGAGGACAGAGCCCAGGGCCTTAGGACTCTACTCGACCCCCTAACTACATATTTTTAAGGCAGAAAAGTATCAGCTAACTTAAAATTTATTAGTTTAATTTTAAAAATGAAAATTACTCATAATCCTACTCTCAGAGAAGCATATTTTAGGATGGTAATAGATAAACACTGTTAGAAAAATCCCAACAGTAAAATCTAAGAACTTCCTTTACCCAGAGTCTTCCTTTCCAGATACAGTCGTCATTAGCATACTTTGGTGTCCCTACAGAAACATCTGCTACCAGCACATGTCATACACAAACACGCAAGATCTCAGGCACAACGTAATGCTTAGCAGTTTCCCAGTAATACATCTTGTGCAGGCCTGGTGATGCATGCCTGCCATCCATGCTACCTGGCAGGAGTTCAAGGTCTGCCCAACCTACAGAGTGAGTTCAAGACCAGGCTCAGTAACTTAAGGAGACCCAGCCTCAAAACAAAAAGTAAAAATAAGAAGGAGGCTGGGGGATCAGTTCAGCAGTAGAGTGATGGCTTAGTGTGAGCAAGGACCTGGATTCAGCCCTGGATCTGCCTCAGAGTCGACAGACTTTCTTTGTTTCATGGCGGCTCCAGTTTTCTACTATGTGCCCCAGTTTATTCATTTTCTATTCCTGGACTAGCCAGTTAAGTCTGTTGGTCACTGCAGACAATATTGAATTGTTTTGTTTTTTGTTTTTGAGACATGGTCTCACATAGCCTAGGCAGGCCCTGAACTAGCTATGTAGTAGAGGGTGATCCTGAACTCTCAGTGCTAGGATAATAGGCTGTCATTACCACAGGCAACTCTGCAGTATGTATTCCTGGGTGAACGGAGCCTGAGTCTTCTGCAAGAACAAGAGCTCTTAACCTCTGAGCCATCTCTCTGGCTCACATTTCTGTAATTATAAGGACAGTTAAGTCTCCTCTCCCTCCCATCTCTCCTTTCCTTCTTCCCTCTCCTCTCCTCCCCTTCTTTTCCTCTCTTTTCTCCCTGCCCTTCTTGTTAGGCAAGTACTGTGTACTCCCAGTGCCTATAACTACTTTTAATTGGTGTATCTCCTCTTCCCTTAGTTTCTCTTAAAATATTTTCCTCTCTTTCAGATTCTTCAACAGCACCTTTTATCTCCTTGTGTAAAGGTGTCTTTGGGGCTAGAGAACTGTCAGTAGTTAAGAGTGTGCACTGCTCTCCTAGAGGAGCAGAGTTTGGATCCCAGCACCCATGCTAGATGGCTCACAACTGCCTTCAAGTTATACCTCTGGCCTCCTCATGTCACATGCAAAAACACATACACATAATTAAAAATAAAATAAGTCTTTTTAAAATGTATCTTTCCCTTAAGCTCCTCTTTCTCATTTCCAGTAACTGCAAACCAACTGGGAACCTAATAAGAAATCTTGACATCTGGAAAGAAAGAGCACCATGGGGAAAGCCACCAGGCCAGGACCAGAGGGTGCTGGTTCCCGTGTGGTGGCCTTAGCATTACCCTTTGCTAGCAATGTCAGATCAGGCAGAACCACCTTCCTCCTGGCACAAAGTCTCTATTACACAGGTAGGAAATCAAGAGAATGTTTGTCGGATTGAGTCACCAGGAAAGCGCAGCTCCAGGCTCCCCACAGAGCAGCGCCTCTACCCCTCTACCATGCTCTTGTCAGCCTGTCAAGGACAAAGACTCCTTTACCCGCCTCTCTACTAAGAATCAGACTGAAGACAAAAGACCAAGATGGGCTCACAGTTCCCAAGCTAGAGTTAGGGTTGACGTCTTCTGTAGCCTGGATTCACTTGAAACAGATTCTAGGAGCACAGGCAGCTGTGAGAACACACGGTGTTGACACCCAGTCGTAGTCTCCACAGGAGTGTGGTCAAAGCGGTAACCTTAGCTTAGCTCCATCTAGTGTAGAAAGCTAGACCAAACCTCCTGTCTGTCGGTCAACACAATTTTCAGGAGTGAACAACAGAAAAACTATGCGGAGGTGAGCTACCAACTCTCTTCCTAGCGGCCATATCTGGATCTTACAGACACGGAGTCCCACTGAGAGAAGGAGACAGAGACCAGAGTCTGAGGCTACAGCAGTGGAAGAATCAGAAGAGCAAGGTACTGGGCAGAAGGGAACTGGGCAGAGCTGGGCCCACTCTAGGCTGGGCTTCTTTGTGGGTTTGTAAGCAAGAACTAGGTTACTCATACGGAGACGGAGGCCACCTCAGGCCTGTCAGGCAGGAGCTGAGAATATAATCCATACTTTCCAGGAGAAGAGCTAGACCAAGACACCGACTTGAGCTTGGCCTTCCCAGAACACCTACTGGATACTCCTGAAATCCCCCTGGGGCATACAGAAAGGTTGCATGCACCTCATGAACCTAACCCATCCTAATTATACCAAAGTCAAGACCAACATGACTGGCCAGAGGCAGAATTTGGAAGTTGAAACCTGCCAAATTGGGTTTAGGAAACATTTAGGGCTTCCTTAGAACTCTGACATTAAAACAAAAATGCAAATTCATTGCAATCTGCTTCCTGCAGCAAGAAGCAACATTCTTCTGGCAAAGACAGATGAATCTGCGGGGTCTCTACAACGTACTCTCCAGAGATGTGGTACCCAATAAAAACATCACTACCATACAAAGGGACCAGAAAAGGTGGCCCATTGTCAGCCAAAAGCAGTCACTGGTAACTAAACCCACGCTGGTTCAAATACTGGACTTGACAGACTTCAAAACAGCTAGCTATAAGAAAGACTGGAAGGAAATAAAGAAAAATACACTTAAAGAATTAAAGGAAAATATATCTTGAAAAAATATCTTATTTAGCCGGGTGGTAGTGGCGCACGCCTTTAATCCCAACACTCGGGAGGCAGAGACAGGCGTATCTCTGTGAGTTTGAGGCCAGCCTGGGCTACAGAGCGAGCTCCAGGACAGCCAGGGCTGCACAGAGAAACCCTGCCTCACAGAAGCAGAACTAGGGCTGGGGAGACGGCTTAGCTGGCAGGACCTGCTGCACTAGCATGAGGCCCTCAGTCCAACCCCCGTTTCTAAAAATGCTGCATATAGGAGTTTGTGTTTATAACCCAGCACTGCGGAGCCAGAGACGGTGGTGCTGGGGTTGCCGGCCAGCCAGCCTGGGTAAATTGGTGAGTGGCAGGTGAGTGACAGATCCCCGTCTCAAAAAACAATGGGATGGAACCTGGGGAATGACACCCAAGACTGTCCTCTGGTCTCCATATTTGTGTGCACACAGACACACACAGACACACAAACAAAGAAATAAAAAAGCAAGACTTCCCACATTTGATGAAAAATACCTACTTTTAACAAAACAAAAAAGCTTTTAGTTTGGGGCTACAGTAGTACAGAGTATGGCTGCTCTCGCAGGACTTGGGTTTAATACCTAGCAGCTCACAACAGCCTGTGACTCCACCCAGCTCCTCTGTGGGCACCAGGCACTCTAAGAAATGAATAAACCCCAGCTTTGAAGAGACACACCCCAGCATAGTCTGCCGCTGCAAACCAAAGGTGCAGACGGACTCTCCAAAGCATCCAGAAATGGAAGAAGGTGCAATGTGGATAGAGACGTTAGAGAGTGAACATGGCTTCCACCTTATGAGACGCACAGAGGCCAGAGAGAATGGAATTTAATCTATGAAGATTTTTTTCAGTGAGTCAACTCAGGTTTATTCCATATTACAGGGGATATAAAGGATCGGGGATGGTAGTGGCGAATCACCTAACTTGCATTAAACAGCATGCACCTATCACAAGGCTCCCAGTACAAGTCTTAGTTATAATCTGCGGAAGCACAGTCCTATCGTAAATTTCCTAGAACAATATCTAATTACCATATGGGCAGCAGGGGAAAGCTTCTGCAGGGAACTACATCCAGGGTCACACTAGAGATAACTCAGGCATCTGGGCCTAGAGACAGTCTCCAAATAAGGTCAGGTGGAGAACAGGGCACCTTCTGCCTGGGGTGGAGATTAGGGAGGGGGTGTTATCTATGTTGCTGCCAGGCCAGGGTAGATTGCAACCTCCAACCAGCAGGGCCTCCTGATTTGCATAGTAAAGCATTGTATATGCATATCAAATGATCACACATAATTACAGTTAAAGTACTAAATTAGGGGTTGGAGAGATGGCTCCAGGTTAAGAGGTTAAGAGCACTGGCTGCTCTTCCTGAGAGGTCCTGAGTTCAATTCCCAGCAACCACACGGCGGCTCACAACCATCTGTAATGAGATCTGGTGCCCTCTTCTGGCCTGCAGGCATACATGTAAGCAGAATGTTATAACATAATAAATAAATCAATCTATTAAAAAAGGTTCTGAATTACAAAAGAACATACTGTATTCTCTCACAGTTACTACATACACTCCCTGAGATGCTCTCATATTGAAATAAAAACCATAGCTGCCACATGTTGTCACACATCTCAAATAAGGTGAAACGTGTGAATACCCAGAACTGCCAGCCATTACTAGAGTGAGCATGATTCACAGATATGCACAGGCATACACGCAGACCAAAGTGCGCAAATGAATAGGAAGCACAGCAACCCAGCATCACCCTGCCAGCCAAGGGTGGCACCTGTCTTCCAGGGGACTGACCTCTTGGGAGAAGGAAACCCAGAGACACAGTCAGTACAATCCCACCCAGCAATGAAGACCGACTGTGCAGGATAGCTCCACTACCCGAAAGGCTGAAAGTCCTCAAAACGCCAGACAGTCATAAGAAGAAAAATAGCTTATTCACACCTCCACTTCCAAATGGATCAAGCCCTGACTTTATGACTTACTGTTTCAAGTAGCCTACATCTCTTAAAACTACACAAAATTAATGGATTTAAAAAGTGACATCTGGGCGCTGGCAAGATGGCTCAGAGGATAAGAGTATTGGTTGCTCTTCCAGAGGTCCTGAGTTCAACTCCCAGCAACCACATCAAGGTGGCTCATAACCATCTGTAATGAGATCTGGTGTCTTCTTCTGTTTCACAGGGATACATGCAGGCAGAATATTGTATATATAATAAATAAATAAATCTTTAAAAAAAAAAAGGTGGGGTCTCAGAGTGTTCATCTAAACTGTTCCCCTTTAAAAAAAAATAAAAAATGACATCTGGAAGCCTGGCAGTGGTGGCACAACCTTTGATCACAGCACTCAGAAGGCAGAGGCAGGTGGCTCTCTGTGACTTTGAGGCCAGCCTGGTCTACAAGAGCTAGTTCCAGGACAGCTAGGATTATGACACAGAGAAACCCTGTTTCAAAACAAACAAAAAACAAGAGAGAGAGAGAGAGAGAGAGAGAGAGAGAGAGAGAAAAGAAACCCTGTTGCAAAAATAAAAATAAAAAAAAAGAGTGACATCTGGGGCTAGGGAGCCAGGAGCAGTAGCTGGTGCCCACAGCCCCAGAATTAGGTGGGGAAGACGTAAAACATAGACAAGCAGATACTAGTGGCTGTCGGGCTGCCAGTTTAGACAGCTGGTGAGCTCCAGGTTCATCGAGACACCCAGACTCAAAAGGTGGAGGGCAAGAGAGAAAGACACTAGATATTTCCCTCTGCACACCTGAGAGTATAGTTGTACACATATGTTCAGCCGATGCACTCATGCACGCACAAGCACGTGTGCACGTGCACACACACATACACAATAACAAGAAATGACCATCTACTCAGGCTGCCATGTGAGCACATCCTTCCACTGCCTTTTGAATTATTATGTGTGACCAGCTGGATTCTGCAAAGATGGTCTCCAACCCTCTAAGCTAACTGTAACCTCTGTGAGTACAGGTTAGACACCATGTGTAACAAGGCAATTCTGCCACAGCCAAGCTTCCTATGAACGCAACACCATTAGCCAAAGACGGTTTTGAAGAAAAATCTCCATCCCAGTGAAGTAGCACAGCAGCTTGCTAAACCTGAAGACCACCACAATCACCTGGACTGTTTTCTAGACACAAATTCCTAGACTCTAGTCAGGGGTGGTGGTACATGCCCAGCACTTGGGAAGCAGAGGCAGGCGGATCTCTGTGAGTTCAAGGCCAGCCTGGTCTATGTAGCAAGTTCTAGGACAGCCAGGACTACATAGTGAGGCCATGTCTCAAACAAAATAAAAGTAAAAATCCAAAGCCAGGCAATGGTGGCACATAATTTAATCCCAGCACTCGGGAAGCTGAGGCAGGTGGATCTCTGTGAGTTTGAGGCCAGCCTGGTCTACAGAGCTGGTTCCAGGACAGCTATGGCTGTTATACAGAGAAACCCTGACTCAAAAAACAAAAACAAAATATAAAGGTAAAAATCTCGAGTCTCCATGGCAATGTGAGGCTTCCAGAGGTCAGAAGCAGACATCCATGTGTTGAAGCATTTCCCCAGGTGTGATGGTTCATTTTAACTATCTACTTGATGGAATTATGTTCACTGCAGAATGTCTGTGAGGGCTTTTCTACACTGTGTTAGGAAGACTCACCCTAAATATGACAGCATCATTCCATGGGATGAGTCCTGGACTGAATAAACAGGAAGCAAGCTGAGCACGAACTTCGCCTTTCTCTGCTTCCTGAGCGTGGGTGCAACGGGACCAGACGCTGCAACCTCCATCCCCTTAGCTTCCCTGCACAATGGCCTGTACTCCAGCTGTGACCTAAAGTCAACCCCTTGCCTCCTTAACGTGCTTTAGCAGGTATTTGATGGCAGCAATGAGAACAGTAACTACGACACCAGGTGACTGTTAGGATGAGCAGGTCTGACCTACAACAGAGGAGACAGATCCATCACCTCTCTCTCCCGCCACACCCCTCTCTCTCTTTTCTGAGAAAGTCTCATTACTGTCCTGTTTCTCACAGAGTTTTTACCTCTAAACAGACATGGCTGGCTTTGCAAACCCTACAGCAGGACGTCTGGTTACCTGGAACATCTCATTGATTCCCTCTCCAGTCTGTGCCGATGTTTCAAAGTACAGGAACCCCTTGCTTTCAGCCCAAAGACGCCCCTCACTTTCATCGATGCAGCGGTGTTTGGTGCAGTCAATCTGAAACAGACAGTCAGAAAGTCGGGAGGAGGCAGAGAGAAGATCCACCCTTGTCCCACTGTATCAGGCCCAGTGAAGTCTTCATCTCTGAGCGTCAGAGTGACATATAAAATTGCCAGGCTAAATGGGACCAAACAACAAAAACCCACTGACTGGGTTTTCTGTCTAATTTAGGTTGCATTTCCCACTTCCTCCCATGAAAAAGCAGCCACTATGTACATCTGTGAAAGTTACATCATGGCCTGTCCTATCCAAGGGGCTACTTTCTGCTGTTGCTATAATCAACCCCTCCCACCAGGTCAAGTTTTTCCCAGACTGCTTCCTCAAGCTGGATACCAAGGGAAAAAATAAATAAAAAACCAGTTAGACCAGGTTTTTGTGGTTTCTGTCTCTGGGGCATGTTTTCCAAGGCAATTGCTCTATGTTCTAAAATGGTGCCTTCTGCAGTGTGCATGTGTGTGTGCATCCATGTTTGTAGACTGAAGACAAGGTCTCATTAGCCCAGGCTGGCCTGGACTCTATATAGCTCAGGCTGGCCCCTGGCTCATAAGCCTCCTGCTTTCAGTTCCTGGGTCTGGGATTACAGGCTAAGCCATGCATCCAGCTCTTGCCTTTCCATGTCCTCAAACAGCCACATTAGCAAACCAATTCAAAACAGTTACCTTGTTGGCACACACAACAAAGACGATATTGTCCATATTCCCGTGAGGCCCAAGTTCCTGCTTCATTTCTGCCAGCCATGAATCAAGGGCATCAAAGGAGTCTTTCTGTCCAACATCATAGACCAATATCACACCTTGGGTGTCCTTGTAAAATTCGTTTCGGACCTTCAGATGGAAGAACAGAGGCACAAGGTGTTGGCTCTGTGATCTTTGTAAGGATGGACTTCACAGCCATTAACTTAACAAAGTGTGTCCTTTTTTGTAGTCAGAGAACTCATTATTATATCTCAGTATTTACTGACTTTTAGAGGACTTTATGTAAAATCAAAATGAAACAAGCAAATCTGTAGGTCAGGAGGGTTTGTAGCAGAAATCAGACCATGGCTCCTCAGGCGAGCACTCTCTAGCTGTTGGCAGATTTGGAAGACAGTTGTGTCAAGACCTTCTCCGTAAGGTAGGCAAACAGTCAAAAGGAATTTAAAGGAAAATGACACAGTTATGAGCAATGGCTGCCACCACACAAACATCACATCCCAGAGTTCACCCAGCATTCCAGGCAGAGCTTTCCAGACTGCTCCAGGGCCATATATCAATTTGAACCCCAAATTCAGAGATCAAAGAACTGAATGGTAAGGAGCATAGCTGAGGAGGCAGGCAGTTCTGTTCACACCACTAGAAGCTGTGTGACCTTGGGCAAATCACAGAACCCTTCTGTGCTTCCTCATCTGTAAACGAGGATCACAGGACTAGGACCAGGTGAGGTCACGAAGGCAATCCATTTAGTACAGCGCCGGGAAAAACGATTCATATAAGCTCCTCTCCCTTTCTTCCTTGTATTCTGTCTAACTGTCCTGACTGTCCAGACATTCTGATCAAGGGTCAGAGATGTGAACTACCACACCTGGCTCTTATATGGGTCCTCGCGCTGTGCAGCCAGCACCTGACCCAATGAGCCATCTTCTTAGCTTCCTAAAGTATCTTCTACCAGGGCTGGAGAGATGGCTCGGTGGCTAATGCACTGGCTGTTCTCGCAGAGGACACAGGTCTGACTCCCATCACCCACATATGGTTTACAGCATTCACAACTCCAGCTCTAGGGGAATCAACAGTCTCTTCTGACCTGAGGGCACCACAAGCACATGGTGCACAGACATACATGTGAGTATAGAATAGACATATACATGTTATAGATATAAATATAATGAAATAGATAAAAATGACCTTCTACCAACTCTTTCTCTCTGCCTTTGTCTACTCTCAATCCCCCCCACCCCAAATCCTGTCCTGGCCCTCTTCCTTTCTGAATCTTTCTTTACAATTAGGCACTATCAACCACGTACATAGGTTCAACTGTGACAGTCTCCAAGATCAGCCTGCTCCCCGCTTCAGCTTCCTTCTAGCCAGCACCGGATGGCTTAATGTCTCACTGAATTCTCACGTGGGGACATCAGTGCTGCCCTGTCTCCCTCCAACAGACTCACGGTCCTGCGGATGGATCATGTCTGCATGCTTCTCCACCTCTCCCCTCCCTTCCACACAGAGTCCAGTACGGCCTTCACCACACTGCTGAAGCCTTCCAAGCTGGCTTCCCAGCACCAGGACACACTGTATAATTTATCTTTTTAAAATGTGGCTCAAAATTCCCCAGTTGTTTCCCCACCACCATGCCCTCCAAAATTCAATCTCATTTAAATGGGATTACAGGGTGGGGTTTTGTTTTGTTTTTTTCTTTTGGTGTGAGGTGTTGAGACAGGGTTTCTCTACAGAAACCTGGTTGTCCTGGTATTCATTATGTAGGCCAGGCTGGCTTCAGAACTCACAGAGATCTGCCTGCCTCTGACTCCCCAGTGCTGAGAATAAAGGCGCATGTCACCACCGTCCATTTGAACTTGTTTTTTTTTAATCTATACAATCCATCTCATACACTTTACAAAGAGTTTTGATGTAGTCACGTCTGACCTTTATTTAGATTACTTTGTACTTTACTGTGCATACAGGATTAAGTTAATTATCACCAGAGGCGTTTATTCCAATTGTGCTGTGCTAAAACGTACCTAAAATAAACTACTCAGGGTCCTAAACTTTGATCTAACACCAGCTAATGAGTCATGGTGAACTGAAGTGCTTTCTTGCCTCCTGTGAACTGTCACTCTGCTGGCTACGCTCTGCTGGCTACGCTCTGCTGGCTACGCTCTGCTGGCTA